CTACTGCTACTACTACTACTACTACTACTACTACTACTACTACTACTACTACTACTACTACTACTACTACTACTACTAATAATAATAATAATAATAATAAATCGATTTGTGTTAGAAGAAGTGTACAAATATATAGACCTATTAGTTATTCGTTATTGTGATTATATTATATATATAATATATATATATATACATATGTATATATATATATATATATGTGTGTGTATGTGTGTGTTTGTGTATAATTGAATAAGTTGCTGCATAAACAGTCATTAATATGAACAAATTAAACAAAGTTTATGTTTATCTGGCTCAGCATCAGGCCCGGGATTTATCAATCTCAGCATAGCAAATGTCTTAAGTCAAAAAAGTTCAAATGGCCCTAACCAAATATCCTAAGTTGACTTTTAACCATTTGAACAAAATCTTAGCTTAAAAATCGTCTTAGATGGCGTGTGCGTACAATCGATTTTTAAGCAGTTTTTAAGCTAAGCAATTGATCTTAAAATATTCTGTTTATATCGACTCAAAGATAAAGTGAAGCTACAAGTCGATGGTAAAGAAACAATTTGGCCTATTCATAGTGTGTTATGATTTTATATATTTATTTTAACAATCATAAAACTATCATCAATTTAAAAAAAAAACACTTTTTGGAACTCTACCAGTATAGTACGTATTCACAAAATCATATAAAAACCTATTAAAATAATAATTGATGAACACATAAAGTTATAAGTAACACACACATGATAATATAAATCATTATTTACATATGCTATCAAAAATATGTGCTAATTCACAAACACGCCCAAATCATCGCCTCTCTGTCTCGTTACTATTCCGTGATTTTGAAAATCGCTTCAAGCGTTTCAATGGCTATTTAGATATCGGACATTAGTCACGTATTGGGATAAAATGATTGATGAAGTTGAATTCATTTCTAATAGATTCTGTTACAAAAACATTGGGTTCGATTTCTAAAGCAACAATCAAATCTGGGTTACAAGACAAATTCTATCGTAATCCATATCTGTGTTTGTCTAACGAGGAACAAAACACTTCCATGAATAAAATATTTGTCAAATGCTTTGTTTTTAAAGATATTCTGTGAATGCCTCATGTAAGCCAGCTACGTACACTGTAGGCCTACTGTGCTGCTGGTAGACGCAACTGATATGGTGGTCTTTTTTCATTTATTCAAACTTCGATCATTTATTGATTCATTATTTCATTCTGGCAATTATTATTTATTGTAAAATCACATCTCAGGGAACAGTGGAATTCACTGTTCCCTGATCACACGTGGAATTAAATTTAATTGATTGATGTTTCCCTTATCATTTTTCTAAGCTAATCCATGCCTAGAGTGCGATTGGACAGGATATTGCGCATGTAATGCAATTTTAACAATAGTACAGTATGTTTAATGGTTACAAAATTTGCTGGCAAAAGCTTCATTATTCATAATTCATTAATTATTATTTGCTGTTATCTTGAACTTGTACTTTATTTACTGTTCTCTTCAGTAAAACACTTTTTTTCTGATAGGCTTATAGGCTTTACTTGATTATCGTGCATAGGCCAAGCATTTGATCGTGTGCCTAGCCATCTGAATAGACTTAATAGACTAGTCCATAAAGCGAACCAAACGTATTCAGCACTACAGGAACCACGAGAGTATTTACAATATTAAAACTAAGAATTTTAAAAAATACAGATAAAGGCCTACTTCCAATTATGATATAAACTTAAAAGTAAATAAAAATTGAATGTTCTGGCCAATAAACGAATGTGTAAAAAACAGGCTTACCATTCCTGGAGTCAGTATCTTAGCTTTTTATGTACCTATATAAGCCTACAGTACTTTAAATTCCTATCTGTAAATCATTTGAACCTGATTTTGAAATCTTTGATCATGTACTTATTTCATATGAGCCATTCAAATTTGTAATTTAATTAATATTCTTGGATTAGAAATCTTTTTTTTTTTTTTTGAGTGTTTTTAGTTCTTTTGGTTGTAGTTTATCTTTAAGCAATTCCGTACCGTTTTCAATATTGAACTTTTTATTTGGAATAGAAAATAGGTTTGACATATTGTTGTATATTGACTATACAAACCAATATATGGGACTAACAGAGACCTTACATTTGGCATAAACAAGTATTATATTATGGATTTGACTGAAGGTAGATTGAATTTCGGATGGAGAGATGACATGATTCTTTGATTAAAAACAGCTATTTTTTTATTGAAGACTTTTACGAGTTCAAAGCTGTTTCTTTGAACACAAAACGGCATAATTATATGACTACAGGTGTTCTATTAATGTTAAAAGAATATTTTTTATCTTACAATCAGGAACGCCATCTTCCTATGAAAAACAATTTGTAAGATCTGATGATAAAAAGATCGGTTTGTTACACAGTGGCCTGAAATCATTATCACATCACTACTTTACCGCAGCATCGATATGCATATTAATAATAACTGTTATTGACATAATGTGTGACTTGTTAGACATTCGTATCATTTAACTAAATGCATACATACGTTGGTTCCGATTACACGATACGATCGTCTCCTCAAAGAAGATACCCTAACAGCTCATGATCGTATCGCGATAATGTTCAGATATAAAGAAGTACGGTAGGCTTACTGAAAATAAGCTAAAGCCTATTATATGCCTACTTAAAAAAGACTCTGATTCAATATTTTTAATTAATAACCTTTCAAGGTGTAAACGCGACTGGGTGAGGGTTCTAAATTTTACCGTTTGACGCTTTGTACTCCGAAGATAAAGGGCGTAACGATTAACAATATGACGACGTCTATTTTGACGATCAAGGCCCGAAATTAAGGAGTTCGGCCGTACGTGCTGTTTAGTCACATACGCCAAGGACTCCAGAATAACAATAGGATATTTAGCTTGATCACACTTGACATAAAATCAACACGGGCCTAGCTAAAATATAGTGAATAAGACAATGTTTCCAGGAGTCTAAGGACTGTTATTCAATACAGATGCAAAGATCACATAAATAAGCTAGTCCAACAGCAGGATTGCCAGCTATGAAAAATGAAATATTTGATTTAACTTCGAGTAAAGAAAATGGTTAATGGCAAGGCTTGTGATTTTACAAAAATATATACTTAAACGCTCAAATCAAAATGTTAGTTATATTTTTACTAACAAACACATTAGAATAAATACGAGTATTAACTTTCATCAATGTCTTTTTTAGGATAAGTGTTTTGTTGTCTTTAACACAGAGAATACTAGATGACGTCACATAAATATTTTTTTTCTTATTTCCATTAAAAATGATACAGTAACTTTGAATGAACAGACACATCAATGCTAGAATGTTTTAGTGCAACACGTCATTAGTTAAATTGTATTTGAAATCATGAAGATGTAATTATTGGTTTACTACGTAATGTAGTCGCGTTATATAATATTTGTTTATTTTTCTTATTTCTGTCTAAGATAAGATAGCCTAACATATAATTAAAAACACTCAAAAAAAAGAAGATATTGTTAAAATTTCTAATCCAAGAATATTATGTTTTGATACAACAGAACATTATTTGAAATTAGTTTAGTGTAACAGATAAAAATATATGGCCGCGTTATACTATGTGTCTGTTAGTTATTTGTCGTGAAATTAATATAAAATGTCGAATAAACAAAGGTATCATGGTCAGAGTGTTTCGGTACAACACATGTCATTTGTTAAATTGTACTCGGAAATATTACAGTAGGGGAGATTAGTATATAAAGATATACGTATGTCGTCTACTTACAGGTGCTGAGATTTCCGTTGATAGAGTTGGCATAGGATGCGTTGGTCCGAATGAATGTAGATGCCTAGGCCGTATAAAGCTGTACGGATGCACAGTTTGGAATGAGAACGGTTCCATTGTGGCACTTCGGAACGCTACAATGAGGTATCATAATAATATATCACAAAAATGATTTATATAACTAAAAAAGTCTAACTATATCATTAAAATATTATTATTTAGCAATAACGTAAAACCTCGAATTGAAGCCCAGTGGGCTTAATCTCGAGATAAAGCTCATGTCGAATTGAGGCCCCTCTTTAGTTTACAAGATTAACCTCGAAAAGAAGCCGCTTCTTTTCAAGATAGCATAAGCTTGTTTTCGAGATAGTACAGTATATAGGCTGTACATGAATTTTAAAAAACAAAGTAAATTAAAAACAAGCTTGGTTTATTCAGTAGTTTAGGTTATTTAATGTCAGTTAAATACACTCCATGATACAGATTGATGTTACAGTGGCCGTATTTATTGTTTTATAGTGAAAATTCACAAAATTTACAGTACTAACTTTGAAAAGAAGCCCCTCTCTTTATTTTGCAAAAGTAGCCCCTAAAAGAAGCCCATCTTGAAAAGAAGCCTATCTAAACTTCGCAAAAAAAAACAACAAACAAACAAAAAACAAAAACAAAAACAAACAAAACAAAAACAATTTGAGGTTTTACGGTATATAGGATTATATAGTTCTTATATATTATTATTATTATTATTATTATTATTATTATTATTATTATTATATAGGCATTATGTTTTTCTTATCAGCAAATTGTAATTGAATTCTGTATAGAGCATCCCCGGTTCGGAACAATGTGAATAAAGTCTATCACTGTATTTGAAAGTCTGATAAGTTTTACTGTTTTGGGGCTTTGTTTCTTTTGTTTTACGTCTTCATTGCTTGAATATATTTTGTTTAATTCAACTCAACTTTTATTTCGGATGAGTTTCCTTCCATATACAACAATCACAAGAAAAACACTAAGCCCAGCACCAAACAGCATATACAAACAATATAGATAAATAACATAGGCCTGAAAGAAGTTAATGAATTAATTAATCCCTCAATCAATAATATCCCTATTTACAAACGATACAAACATCACGGATGAAGATATTTCTCCATACCAAGTAAACATTAGGGGTGATGTACTGTACACACTCAGGAGAGCTAATATAAGGTCACGAAAATCATGATTATAACGCTCAAATAGTGGAATCTATGTAGTTAATGTCCAAATTTTATTCTCTATTGGCACATGTATAGCCAGGCTTCGTAAAGACATACATGACTTTTGTGTACAATTATAACTTACCGTATTATATTTGGCTACATCATTTAGAAAAAACAAAAACAAAACAGGAACATGTAAGTACAAATGCAGGTTAAAAGGGAAGTTTGTTTTTGTCTTTCGTGGGAGTCACCCACCTTTATTGTCACTCTTTTTTTAAATTGTTTTCATTCATTTTTCTATCTTTAATCTATATTACATTTCAAATAAAATACGGGTAAGTAATATATACATATATAATACTTTTGTCAAAATTAAAGCCTTCTTTTTTACAAAGTATTTTTTTCCATGGTAAAGTTTGAAACAAAAAGAAAAAGAAAATAATAAGAGGTGGAAATTCATTAAATTGTATAATAATTAGATCCAAAATATAATCGATTTGTGAAATATATTTTTGGTAAGTCACAGTCAGTATGACATCTTCTTTTGTTAAATATATATATACATATATATATATATACATACATATATATATATATATATATACACACACACACATATATATATATATTGTATTTAATTTTTTTAAATTTTATTTTAAAATTAAAATCCATTATACATTGTTTTTTTCCACATCTTTTTTTATTTTTTTATTTTTTTTATATCTTTGTACAATATCCAAATCATCTTTGACTTAGGCCTTTGACTAAAAGTGTCACCTGTATGTACTTTCCTAAATTTTGTTATAATTTACAATTCGTAATACAATATTGTAGTATTTACTTCTATTTATGGGTTTTTTTTTCTTTTCAATGTAGATATGTTAAAAAATTCCTAACTATCAATCAGCAAATTATGTATTCTTTTCCATTTCCTTTTACCCTTTACTTTGTCGATATATAAGTCACCTTTAATTCTGAACATGATTTTATGTTTAAAGGCACTCCATAGATCAGTAAGTTAAAAGGGAAGTTAAAATGAATTACTATTAGAATATTTATAGTGATTTGATTTTGAATTATATTTATTCGTCCAGCTTACACAGTTTAAGACACATTGATGGTGAATGGGATTCAAGAATTATTGGTAATTAACACAGGCATCATTTCTTTTTATCTTTGGGGCATAACTATATTCAAACGTTGTAACAAGTAGTAGCATTTGATTAAAAAAAAACCTTATATAAAAGGCCAGCAAATACTCGTTTAACATAATAATTATGAGTAAGCATTGGACTTCCAAAACAAACATGAAAAATAATCTTACCGGTGTGACTGAAGCCTGGCGATTGTGAATACGTTTGTAGATGCGTGGCCCACTCGGCGTCCCATAACGTTTGTTGTAAATGTCCAATATATGCAATGGCTGCCCTTAGTGTGTCTACTTTACTAACTCGTCTGTTGTGGTTCATCCACGGTAAAACTTGACGTAAATTTTCAAAACCGGAATTTAGATTGCTAACTCTTTCCCGTTCCCTCGCATTGGCTTGCCTTCTCCTTTCAAGGGCATCTTCTGGGTCCTCATCCGAATTGTTACTTTCTGTACTTAAATGTCTTTTTCTTGCTGTTCGTCTAGGCTCAGAAGAGCGAGAGGATCGTGCATTTTCATTATTGTTCTTTTCCTCTTGCGATGTTCGTAAATTTAAAGCATTCCTAGCCCACAATTGAGCGAGATGTTGAGGGGCTAGGTTAGGAGCCGAACGTCTAGGTGCATCAGAATTCGAAAGTGGCCTAAGTGGTAGTGGAAGATGAGGGCTAGGGACCATGGTTGGGAATACATGAGAGTTTATATTCGGGTTAAAGCATGGTCGGATGAGATTACAAGTAGGTACAGGCCTTATTGGGGAAAATCCTGGGCCTGACAAAGTCTCTTGTAGGGGCTTAGATGCCGTGTGGGGGCAAGGTGTTTTTGAATTTGGTGTAAACATTAACGGGACGGGGTAGAGTCCTAGTGGGGATGGTCGTGCTGAACGAGGTAAGGCCGGAGAGGTCCCAGCAGAATTCATTAGTAAAGAATACGGCTTCAAAGACGGTGAAGGTAAATACAAACAACCCGGAAAGTTCGATGAATTTGTAGGTACGGATGAAAGTATATGAGGTACTTTAGCACTTGCTATGGACTTCAGCGAATCGACGTGTCTATCACCTTTAAAAATAGTGTCTCTGACGCGAAAACCAAAGTTTGCCCGTATTAAAGGCGGGCCTGGTCGAGATTTATCGTCTCCTGTATGCTGAACATTTTCATCCAACTGTTCGTCATCGGTGAAAGATGTCGAAGAAGGTGACAAAATAGCAATTTCTCCGTCCTCGCTGCTGTTACACACATCAACATGAAGATGCACCTCTCTGTTGTCATGTAGGACATTATCTGACATGTTTGCCCGCTGCTGTGTCAGGCCCTCTTCCTCTTCATCTCGTTTGTCGAGAACCGCAACCTCTCGCGGGGAATTCTGATCCCAATCGCGCATTCTCAGTATCTCAAAACTGTCGCTTAAATAAGATTGAGAAACTTTAGTCGTAGAAAACTTGCCTTTCTGGATTTTATTCGATGCTTTGATATGTTCAAGATTTATAACCGTGTTTACATCTACCTCTTCGTATTTTTTCGAAATTGTTTTACTTCGTTTTGGTGAATGTTCATACGCTGTGCCACTATTAACCTTGTCTCTCGACCAAGTATTTTTATTATTATTATCATTAATGTCGAGGTTCGTTGTTGGTAGTATTTGAGGTTTGTCTGGTTGTAAAAGTTCATCTACACTTACATATCCCCCTCGTTGTCGCCGACTGAGAAACGAGGCTCGATGCATGGGTATTGTATCGTGAGCAAATACTTTACTCATGTCTTCAGGTTAAAAGTTACGTTGGGTTGTTTTGTCGAATTGCCCGTGGAGAGGTTGACAGGCCGGACAATAGCGCGTTCCAATATGCAGACTACTCGCCGATAATCCACCTGATCTAACACGTGCGGTTAGAAAAAAAAATCTCATATACAACCAGCCTCTATATGACCTACCATTGCCAGTTTAAAGTCACATATTTAAATTTACCGTTCGTCATATCAACGATTGGCAATGTCCATTGGTCTGTTAATATCCTGACCGATTCTTAATATTCATCCAATGCGCATCACACGCACAGATTGGCACTGACCTTGCGATATTATTGGTTGAGAAGTTTCTAATTATATAAATGTTTTGTCATAGGTTAACCAATACGTTTACTCTATTCGTGTCAATGTCTCGTACTTTCTTGCTCTCTAATCAAATAAAATAACTCTGGAATTTTGAAATAAATTCAGACGAATCAATAGCGGGTCGATGTTATAACCAGCAGACGATAACCTCTCCGACCTCGTCTGGACTATGGTGCAAAATCCTTCAACTACACTTCAGTAACGAATGCCAACAAAAAAAAAATCACTCATAACGTTTGACAAACTTAATCTAATTTCATTTCCCAGTATCTCGAATTGACAACAACTATTTAATTGTATATGTTTGACTTAAATATGTCCATCGTTTGGCGAAACCGGATAGCCGACAATGAGTTTTTATTTTCACACCCCAAAAATCGCAAATCAGCGCTGTCTATTGACGTGAATGCTTCGGGCAGTGCCCTTGACTCTTAAGATGTTTATTCATAGAATGCTATTATCCTAAGGCTGAAAAAATAAGTTCAATCTATTAAACATTCTAATAGGAAATGTCTATATTTTAAATTAAATTGATACTAAATAATATTACAAAGCAAGTTTGTATATAGATTACATTTTATATAGACATACTTCAAGTATCATCATCATTAGTAATAGATCTGTAGTTACTGAAGCCATCATGTGCGATCTTATAACAAAAGTTATATATACAAAAATGACCATTTAAATGTGTTTATACTACGATGTATAGAATCATGTAGAGTCGTGTATTATGGTATACGTTTCATAGGCTAAATGAAAATATCATAGGGCAGTATGTGAAATTGTGAAATTAAAAAAAAAAACAAAAAAAAAAACAAAAAAAAAACAAACAAAAAAACCCCCCATAAAACTGAGAATGTTGCAGAAGAGAAGTAATTACATTTCTGTGCCTTTTTTTTTTTAAATTTATAACTTACTGGAAGGTGTTTTGTTCAAGAAATCTATAGTTTGTTTACATTGGGTGCTTCCAGATTCCAGATTATATTATTGTATAATTAGCAGTTGTTATATACATTTCGGAAAAAAGTACTGTAGATCACCGGTTTAGTGGTTCCTACAGGTGTAATATTGAAAGCATAATTTGGAGGCTGAATATTGAATCTGATTTGTCATCTACTCTTGAATTATTTACTTTATCAGTTTATTTGTATTTAAATCAAAACGATACAACTAATTTAATTGTATTATCTATACACCATATACGGTACGGTACACTATGGAATAAATTATGGACTCAAAAGCACTAAGACTTGTATGAAACTTAGGCCCTATATTTGTTTGAAGCTAAGAGAGTATAAATCAATTTGCAAGTTGCAAGAGGACTGACCAGTAAATTTAAACTCAGTTGTGTTCCACTAAACTTGTTAGCTTTTAGGCCGATCTGTAGTGATAATGATAATAATGCTATTGTTTTAATATGATCAATAAATTAAATTATACAATATGAAATGCAATTGAGTATTTTCTTACCTTGGTCAGGTGCAACTCCTTTGTTAAACATCCTCTGAGGTACAGTAACTGACAAAATGCGTGATACATTTACAATATTGAAGCTGACTTTCAATTGCCGCCAGGTAGTCATATTGTGTTTACCTGTGGTGATTTCATTACTGTATTTTCAATATTTACATTAAAAAAATAATTAGTAAAGGACAAATACGCCTATGTTTTTGTTTACAGGCCGAAGGGTTGAGGTGTAGGCCCAGAGGCTTTCGAAACGTCCTTTATGTTGGCCATGGCGGCACACGAAAGCTACCTGTGCCACGTGCTACATGAGGCACCGGTTGGCTGCTACCACAGGTGGGCTAGGTCTGGTAGTAGTTAGGGTATATCAAAGTCAATGTCAATTAATATCGCCTTCAAAAGGTGAGTTGTTTTAATTACTCTTGGAAAGAACGGGTGGTGATGACGTCACTATTTCTTAATCGTATCAAATAAAAGTGACGCAAATGGATAATTGAACATAGTTATATCTCTTTAAAAAAAAAAAAAATTCTATTTTAGAATGCATTAATTGTTTAATGTTTTTACAAAATACCAAACTAAATTTGAATAAACAAACAAACAAAACGTAACGGCTAAGGAATACTATTATTGATAATAATGGTGATGACAAATTACTATGACAATGTGATTATGAATGTATTATCCTGATAGGTGGACGTTTGTGTAGATTATGGTGATGATTATGATGATGATGACGCCCGTGACGACGACGACGGCGGTGGGGACGATGTTGAATCTAGATGTTAATGTTGATACAGACAATGACGGTGGTGACGAATCCTCATGACGTTGGTGGAAGAGTAAGGAGAACGATAAAGATATAATGGACAGTAATTTTCATCACATCACAGTCTAGTCGAAGATGAAAACATATCGATTAATTTTGTAATTATCATATTTAATTATCCATGTATCACCATGGTATTATTTTTATGTTTATATATTTTATTCCCATCCAAAAGATAAAATATATCGCTATTTAAAGGTTGGAAGTTATATACCTAATGAGGCTTACGCTTTGGGGTTATTTTCGTGTAACCAGATTTGCACCAAAGGAGATGAAATTGGAAGGCGAGCATCTCAACCACCAAGTTACCTTCATCCATTATGACAATCATAAGCACTATCATCATCACCGTTATCACCATCATCATCGTCATCATCATCATCATCATCATCATTATCATCATCATCATCATCATCATCCTCATCATCAATTAGGCCTAACAACAAAAACAACATCACTGCCACCACCACCACCACCATCATAATTACGTTTATCAGATAACCATTAAAATCATTATAAAATAATTATCAAGATAACTTCTGCTGAAATAACTTCTATCATGATAATCACCAACATTATCTTTATAACCATCATTATCATCATAACCACTACAATCAACACCTCCCTAATTACCTTTATCATCACCACCATTAGCATTATTATTGTTAATCATCATGATCATGATCATGATCATCATCATCATCATCACCATCATCATCATCACCATTATCATCATATAAGCATCACCACCACCACCAACAAAATCATTGTAATTATTTTTGTCATCCCACACACAAGATGGACACATTAAAATTGTTATAAAACAGTAATTACTTCATCGTGTCTTTATCCGAGCACAGTTTCTACCAATATTTGACTATTTACAACCTATTCTATCAGCGATGTATGTCATATATATATATATATATAGCTATATATCATTTAGCTTGATAAAGACTTATAGTCGAAAGTACTCGCTAACTCTGAAAATAAATTTTGTGGCATATATCTGATACCATCTGACTCGTTATTTATAAAATGATTATGTTTTATAATTCAGTACAATATTTACAATATGTATTTTATTTTGTGCTGTTGATAGAAACATTAATATTCTTGACCGAAATTGAAACAATAGTAAACCCAACATAGCTCCAGATATTTGCCCTCAGAAACGACATAATCGGCGCCTAAATCGGCGCCTAAGAGCCAATTATCAAACGGACTTGACAGTCAAATAGACCCACAGAAGTAGGCCCTAATTAGACATGGCCGTTGAGGGTGACTTCCAAATAATTGTTAAAGACAGCGTTTTGATATGAAACATTCAACAGATAGGCCTACGGTAGGTCAACAACCACAAGGTCAACGCCCTATGATTATTACATCTATGTTTTTGTTAATTACAGTTACAATAACTGTAAATATTTCTCCTTAAATAATGCTGCTGGTCACAATGTATTTAGTATTTTTACTGATGCAGGAACCGCGGTGAAACATGTTTTAAGTAGGTCGCTTAAATTGTAAGATTATGTAAAATTAAACCCAAAATAAAAACAACATTTCAAATTTCGTTATTGTTTATTCAGTCGCTTTCATTTTTTTAATCAACATTCCATTCCGTATTTGTTAATTTTACAGCTTCATTATGATTTATTTGGTCGATAGTAAATAAGAACAATAATAAATTTTAGTATATCATCTTCATCATCGTTCTTCATGATTTAAACCCTTTGAAGTTCCAATGTTTTATTGTTGAGCATTTTGCCATTGTATTTATGTCTATTCATTTATTTATTCTATATTTATTGGTTACCCTTTTATCATATTTTTAAAGTGATTATTGTTGCAATTATAACTTTATTTGTTAATTTTCATTTTTCATATCTATTAATGTATTTTGAATCCCCATTACATAAATTACTATAATGTGCATTTTCATGCATAAGTAATGCCATTCACCTATGCAGTAGTTAATAAAAAGTGATTCTGGCCTCAATATTCTACAACTCAAGTGCAATTAAAACGTTTCATTACTTTTTATGTATTTTAACACGTAGTTATTTTCATAACAAATAATGTTTTTTTTTGTCTCTTACATTAATAATGCAATATTTTTTTATTTTATGCTTCGCTTCTTTTTTACACATAACTGAAGCGAAATACAGTTTAATTATTAAATGAATATTTTCAATTTGTATAGTGAAAACATTTAATCTTTAATGTACCATCTTTTACTAATGTTTTGTTGTTTTTCTATATACAATTTTAAATTTTGTACTATAGGGATTGCTTTACAAGACTAGTAAAAGTTACCGGTATGTATTCTTTTAATAATTATAAACTGAGGATATGATGTATTAATGTATTTATCAGAATATTTCCTTTTCTTTGGTACATGTTACATATTCTAAACATCAATGGTATCAATTTGTATCGTTTATGTTTATGTTCCGCTAAATTCAAAAGTTACTTGATAATAAACCTTGAGGTCGCTCTATCATTTTCAGTCTATACGAAGGTCAAACAGCCCATTAGCAAGTTTATCAATTAGGCTATTGATTAATCCAGCTAATTAATGTTGGCACTTCACGCCTGTCTTAACTTAACAGGTTCCGCGTATTATTGTAGCGAGTAATGTGTTAATTTAGCGATAATTGTTCTTATCTGGGCCTTAATCATTTGCACCGTTTAGGCTGATTTCTAGAGTGTGTTAAGCTGACGTGTGCTTCTTCACGATGCCACACCGATCCTAAGGAATCCTCATTCTGCTAGAGATGTGTGCTAGCTACCACGATGCCACTCTGATCCTAAGGGATTCACATACTTTTGGGAGGTGCGTTTTGCAACCGAAGTGGACCTTACGATAGGCGGCTGCCTAGGGATCCCCGCGAGGGTGGGGCGAATCTTCTGGAAGCTCTGGCAAATTAGCATTTTGAGGGCCTTTTTCTAAAATCCATAATTTGTAATATCCCATTTCAATTTTCATTCATTTGAGTATTGTCTAGGGACCTACAGTAAAGCAGGAGAAATAGAGGGTGGAGGTGAAGGGATGAACTTGCACAGACAGATGGTCAATACCACCTCAGCCCCACCATGGTTGGGGCTGA